TGTTCTTCCCATAGCAAAGAGTAGATGCCCGACCCTTCATTTCTCAAAAATGAAAATTCTACCTGTATTTACATTCGGTTTATTTTCATCTTGATATTGTCACAAAATGAACAAATCTGAGAGAGGTCCACCTGAGGGACCTATATATAATATAAAAGCAATCAAACTTGCTGTTTTCAACAAGAAGTTGAAAATATCACTTTTCACCAAAAATGACAAAAATATTCATTAAAATTAGAGAATTAAAGATGTCATCAGGAAATGAACAAATCTAAGAGAGGTTTACCCAAGGTACATATACACCAAATATCTGAGAAATCAGACTCAACAAAGTTGACAGCAGAGCTAAAAATAAACACAGTAACTTTTGTAGCTGATAGTTGACAACGACAATCGTATTTTCCCATGTTCTCAAAACTATTAGTGTTTACCAATTATTGTCTCATTCTAGTGTGAAGATGGGTCTTATCCATTCAACAAACAGAAAAATTTTTGCAGGCCTTAGGCATGCTAAATGTAAAACAGGCAAGCATGTCAATTATCTTTCAAGTTCTGTTATGTGTTAATGTTCACATCATGTTAACTTGTGACATAGACATAGAATGATGGCCTATTAGCTGATCGTGCTACATGCATGCCAACAATATACGTGTATCATGAACAATAGAATAGTGCTGGTTTTTGATCTGGTTGTCATTTTCATTGGAATTTTTAAGTCAGCAGGTCACAGTGATTTTTGTAACAGTGAACATCAAGATCTTTAAGATAATGAGTCACAGAGATAGTCATTACATTTTTATTTCATAAATGCTGCCAAATAATCATAAGAAAATTAATAGCTGTCAGTGTCTTCAATTCAAAATTAAGTTTAGGGCTTGGGAGATAAACCTGAAATTGGCATACAGCACTACAATTACATGTAATACTACAAGTACATTCATATAATAATATTTATATCATATATTTCAATCACTATATGTACAAACCGCTCCTACCTCAACAAATAACTCATAGCAGAGACTGCACTGTAACTCATCTTCCATGACGTCTGCTACATTCTGGATCGCCTCTTCTTTGGCTTTCTGGATGCTCAGCTCTTGTTGCTCTTTATCCATCTTACTTTCTTTTAACTGCATGCACAGAACAGTTGGCAGAATTCAATAAGAAACAGTGAAATGCTACGACGTTGTGAATTGAATTCCCAGACGATCAATTTGTATAACATCTAGTTTACAAATGTCTTTCAACATTAATAGTAATTGACATAACCAGAATTCTCATTGTTTCTTGAGAGTGCAAGCACAGCATTGCTGTGGTCACTGTCAAGCATGGTAAAACCACCAGGCCTGGGGAGTACTATGCGATACATAATGAGAAAGAGCAAATACCGGGTATAACTGTTCATACATTGGGAAGTCCACAACATTATATCAATATGAACATATCTCAAACATGATATTTAGTTAATTCCCTGTAACCTGACAAATAGACTGGAAGGCATTTATTTGGTATGGCAAAAAAACCTTGATTTAGCATATACATTTCATTGTGCGTCTTGTAGTGCATTGTAAAAGAATATATATATATACACACAAATTTGTGGTCTAACTTCCAAATTTTATTATAAATATCTGAAACCATACCTGACTTTCCAGGACAGTGTATTCCAATTCTTTCCTAGATATTATTTCTTCCAGTTTTTCTTTCTGTTTCTCCAACGTAACTTGTAAATCCTTATCTTTTTCAACCAACTTCACTTGTAATTCCTTTTGTAAACTCTCCTCTACTTTCTTCTTCTCCAGTTGAAGTGTGTCCCTCTGCTGTTTTAACTCCAGCAACATTTTTTCTTCCTTCTCTTTCAACTGAATTTCCATGAATTCCTTCATTTGTTTCTGCAGCAGTTCTTTCTCTGCTTGCAATCTCTCTTTCTGCTCTTCCACTTCTTTCAACATCTCCTGTTCTCTGAGTTTTAATTTCTCCTCTAACTGTACCTTGGCATTTTCATTTGCAGTGAGAACAGACTGCATTCTTAGTAACTGGTGCTCAGCTTCTTGGACTTTAACCTCAGCTAGATTTTCCTGTTCTTTCAATTTATTTTTCATGTCCTGAAGCTGTTTTTCTGAAAGATTGACTTTCTTTCCTTTAGTTGGACTAGACGATCCAACAGTAGGCACAGGCCTTGAGTTTTCAGAAATGTTTGAAGGTCCCGGTTCTTGACTGTTTTGAATTTTATATCGTTTAGTACTAGGCTCACCTGCCCCAGATAACTTACAATCTTTTTTTCTTGTGGTGTGACTTTCAGTATTGGTATCACAACTTTTCCTCTTAACGCCATTCTTTTTATTTGCTGGTTTATTTGGTTGCAATTGCTTCTTTTTATTAAAAACTGATTGTATTTCCTGGGGTGTATGTCTCTCTTCAATAAATTTAAAAACAAATTCTGGTGGAGTTTTTTCATTTGGCTTTTTTCCGATTTGGACAATGTCATTTTCTTTGACTTGATGGGGTTTTAATGGCTTTATCTTCTTTCCATTGATAAAGATTCCATTTATACTCTGTTGATATAATTAGTTCAGCCATTTTAATTAGTTCATGTACATATTTACTTTCAAAAATTAAAATATTTCACACAAGATGGGGAGACACATCACTGTACTGAAATAAAATGTGTATTACTGTAGAAGCTGAATCAAAAACATAAGCAGCATTGTTTTGAACAATTGAGAACTGAAAATTCACTATTTCTCACATGTGTAGAAGCCACATCCCCACATGTTACATTGTATCGTTTAAATTAGAGCTTATACTTCTAATACAATTACAAATTTTAAAGTAGGACATTCTTAAAAAATAAATTGCACCTGCTGTGTTTGAGAGCCATTGGTCAGAACTCCAGTGAGATAGATCACCATGGAATACAATACTGAAATCTGGACACCGTCTTTCCTTTTATACACCTTGATATTATCTGTTTCAGTGGCCAACATTTTGTTGAAAGCCTATTTTTTCCAATGATAGTTCAGTCGAAAGTATTTACTTTATTACTGTACTTGCTGTATTACTGTAGTCAAATTAAGTAATATTCATGCATGGGGACAGAGCATGGGGACAGAGCATGGTGACAGAGATCTATATTTCAGAACATAACCCAAACAAACTTTTGACAATACCTCCTAGTCAGATGTAATCAACAACCTGGTAAAAAAATGTGTTTGACTTATATTAGATCTCTGATTTCATTTAATCTGCACCAGAGAGAATTGTAAGCAATAATTTCATCAATTTGGGTGGTACATGTAGTTGGATACTTGAATAATGATAAATTTGACTCATTTGACGAAACATTATACCCCAAATTTTTGTACATGTATAAGATGATTGGAGTCACATAAACTTTTACATATACATGTACATGTACATATATGCTGTGAATGCACATAAATTACAACAAATACAATAACCATAGAACATGGGAACATGAATGTCAGAAATTAACTTACTTTATTATCTACAACTGTCCAGGTATTGTCGTTATCTTGAAATATTGCATGTTTTCTGGAAATCATTAATGGTTCTTCATCAGGCAGTAATTGCACAGTCACATCCAGACCTCTACCTAAAGTAACCTGAGAGCATCAATGAGATCCCACATTAGAAATTGGTCTACTTTGAGTCTAACCATGGAGGTAGAAAATAGAAGGAGTGAGGACGCTATTGTTTTCGCTGGTTTCATGATGCTTTGGAGTTGTTTACTCAGTACACATTTTAATTAGTTGGCAAACACGCTGTACAATGTCACTGTTGATCGGCTTAGGTGTTTCGGCTATATTCTAAAGCTTTGGGAATATTCTTGACGCACTGCGCCTGCCCAAACAGACAACAGTAATACAGAATACAGCAAGTATACTTAATGCCCCAAAACTATTGCAACAAAGGGTGTGATTTTCAACATCTGCACAGTTCTGCCCACTGATGAAAACTGCCCGTCAAAACATCTTGTTATAAACTTATCATGTATCTTTAAATTTCACTGCAGAATTTTGTGGAATTTATTTTATTAATGTCTAAAGTTGGACGACTCATCCTCTTGGAAGGGTCTGTAAGCAGAATTCCCGGTACCTACTACAAGTGTGAAATAATCTTTGTGATTTTTCTGATCTACTCTTGATTCTTGTGTAAATAAGCGGCTATCATCATGTAGATAAAACAACTTCTAAATAAAAACGATAAGTGGTTTAACCAGAGCAAAGACAAAGGATGTTTATAGGATTAACACAGGCTTAAATAGCGTCCTCACTCTTTCTCTTTTCTACCTCCATGGTCTAACTTTGGAAGACCAAATGAATGTCTGTGAATTTGGTCAAATGAATTTGATCAAATCGCGCCATATTATATAATTGTTGTTTTTCTTGTGTTTTTTTCTCATTTTGTTTGTTTGTCTTCCCATCTGTATTGCATTTTATTTAAAATCCTAGGATTATTATTATTATTTCAATTGAGGTTTTTAAAGATTAATCGAGTTTCTCGTCATTAATATTTTCCATTAGGTCAAAACAAAGTACATCCATCACATTTTATTATAGCAAGATCCACTCTTTTTTTTAGCTCCATGATACACTGCAGTGTTTTAGTGGGCAACCAACGACCGAATGTAAATATCGCCCACTCTTCAAACGCCGTGGGTTCAGGGCTAGGTTTCCTCCCCGGGTTTACACATGGGTCAACCAGTCCGTGGTCAAAACATGTTGCAAAACAATGCATGCAGTAAAGCAAAGCTCTGCGTGTGATTAGGATCATACGAACAGACATTTATCCCCAACTACGAAAGCCTAGACCTCTGTCCGTAAGATCATGACCAATGATATGCAGGAATATCAGAATAAAAAAATAACAATGTAAAAACGGCGATCAAACCTGAAACTAAATTCAAAGTGTGATCGGAGTGTGTAGAAAGTTCGCAATTTTGATTGGAACTATTTGTCTAAGCTTATTGGGGTTATATGGGTTATCCTGGTATTTCGATCGGTCTCTAAAACTTACTTCAATGCCTGATGGTAACGGAATATACGACAAGTCGCCGATTTTTTCGCCCAGGCGTTTCAAACACCAGCAACTAGCCGCCATTATGGCAAACCGCGTACTGCAGTGACGTCATCACTTGTTGTATACACAAAATAAGTAGGGAAGACCGTGTGACGTCATAAGCCCTCAGCTGACTTGCTTTTCTGTTTTCGGTAAATGCAGTCAATCAATGTGTCCTGTATTCTGGGCAATTCATAACAAAGTGTTTTTATCCTCAATTTGCTTTCCATTGTCATTATGAATATCATTATCCCGCTGTTTTTAAAAAAAATTATTCAATTTCTTGTGAACTTCACTTATGATATGTTGAAGAAATCTCACTTTAAAATATAATTTGGTTATAATAAATACTGCTTTCTCAATTGTTTGAAACCATTTCCTCTTGTTTTTATTAACAAGGTGGGCAACCTTCAATAATGTTTTTTGGTGAGTAACTGATTCTATTAAATGATTTGATTAATTGTTTTTATTAAGTATGGGAGGCAACTAAGAGATCTATAAATTATGTTTTGAAATAGGCAAGCCTGAATGGGTCATTGACATTTTAAATGGTTAACAGGTTCCATTTTGATATTTACAGGAATCAAAGTGATCATATTTTTGGTGTGTTGATATGTGGCAATAATAAATCCATTTTACCATGATTTTGAACTGGTGTATATCAATAAGGGGTGTGTTTCTCTTGAAAATCTGTTTCAAGGGGTGGGTTTTTAGGGACCTGGATCATGATTTCCATCAACAGTTCTTTGCATATCTATATAAAAATAATATAAAGGATCTCCCTGGGAAGTTGAAATGAGTTATTACTAATAATTTGGATTAGGTGTGTCTGCCCAGAGCCATTTCTCAGACATACTTTTACTGTTCTCATTTAAACTTAACATAATGACTATGTGCACTGAATTACAGATGCATGTAGATTTACAAATTAATCAAATATAGCTGACTGATGGCCAATTTTGGTCTTCAAATTTGCTAAATCCTGTTATCAAGAGAAATTTTGCAGACTAATCATTAGGATTTAATTCACTTAGCTGTTACAATGTATATATTATATATACCGGTACCGGTAATCTATATTATTATTGTTTAGATTCTTTTTCATGATGTTGACATACTGGTATAATATTATAAACAAACTTTGTTTTAATACTAGTATACAAAACTGGTTTACTTGAGAAAAATTTAGCTCAAAATCGTGTAAATGAAAAACGGAAATATGTCTTTCAGTTACAAGCTAGATTTTTTTTATACGTTGCTGTAAATTTTAATGGAGGGGGGGGGGGTTTCTTCATCAAGTGCACACTTTTCTACAGTCTCCCCTTAAAATGAAAATATTGGCAATAATTCTTGTTGTAAATGATAATTTATTAGGTAATCTGTACACACACTCATGGCACTATCATAACACTCGTAAAACACGTGAATTGAATTCAAGTGTTTACGTAAAGCGCCATGGTCTCGCATTCAAATTTCTTGTATTTTACACAACTTTTGTATATGCATGGACCCAAATCAAACATCAAAGAAAGCTTAGAAAGAACTCCCATGTGCTGAGAGTATTGGAGACACATTAAATATAATTCGAAATTACTTAGCTGAAAACTAATTATGCAAATCAGAAAATTAATATGACCAGATTTGAGTGTAAAACTAATGAGGTCTGCGCAATGTAACAGAAAATCTATGTCTCCAAGTTTAATTGAAATGTGATTAGAACCAAAAAATTATGAATTATTATGCTTATTAGGGAATTAATATGAACAGATTTTTACCCCAAACTAATTAGGTTTGTACATTGTCCTAGAGCATCTTTGTACTAAGTTTCATTGAAATGGAATAATTAGCACCGTGAAAACTCCAAAATTTCGACCCCTCTAAAAATTTGACCGCCTATTTATTTGCCGGGTTTCGGTGTTTTATTTACCTCCAAATTTTCGACTCCACTAAAATTGCCGACTTGTTCTTATTCGAAAATTGCGACCTGTTTTGTTTTCCCCCAAACGAAAAAAAAAACCGATGTGAGCGTTCAAACGGGACCTTTCCCTCAAAGGCATGAATCCGGGTTTCTGATTGACTGAGAGATTTTTATTTTATTGGTAACGAAAATATATTCTAAATAAACGAAGTTTCAAATAAAAACGAACACAAAAATCTCGGCATGCTGCGTTTCTGATTTGTTGATTATTACTCAGTAGTGATTATAATAATGTACACAAAATAAATTCGTTGAATTGTTATGAAATACAAATAAAAGTCAACTTAGTTTCGTCGTAAGCGAATGATTCCGGTCTTGTATAAACGTTTGATGCTGTAGATATCCGCCTTGTTCTCTT